GCAGTTTATGGACTGAGTCGTCCCTCCCTATCCTTCGATCCTACATTTTTCCCCTCTTTGTCTACAGCCATAAAAATAAATATCTGTCTTCACACTTTTTTACCCTTCATGATGCACCATCCAAGCACAGACTCAAACACTTTTCATCGAACTTTTCTTGAAGTCTGGTGAATCTACAAATATGTATTCTGTTATGGACATTCTCTGCTTGTCATAATACAAATTTCAAAATAACATAATTGCTTTCTTTCAAGATTCACCACAGTAACTTGTTAGAATATTTATATGTATACAAGTCCAGAATCTCATATCTTTAAGAGGTTAAATTGCCAAAAGGCAAGTAACCCAAATATCTACTTTTAACAGAAAACTATACTGAGGCAGTCAACAGTATTTAAAATAGAGTATTCTGTTCTGTAATCTACTATTCAGCAACCAGTCATTCCATAGCCACAAGTTAGTTGTGTGAAGGCTGCTCTGGAATCTTAGGGAACTAAAATGTCAGCAAGAAAGACAAACTCATAAGCAATCAACTCTGGTATCCGAATGCTTTTGAAAACAAAGGCTTGTATGAGTTATTGGAGGAACCAGTACATGATGGTACACACCTGTAATCCCAACAGTTAGGAGGCTGAAATAAGAGTGATCAATGCCAACATGGAGAGAATGTGTTAATACCAGATCAGTTAATACCGGACAACTAAAATGAGGAAGGAATATGACAGTGAAAGCATCTTAGTGAAAGCATGTTATGATTTCAACCAAGCTTTGCAGTATGGTGGCAGTTCTGGCAGCGGTCCAAAGGAACGGAAGAGGTCATAGTACCACAGGCTGTTCTGACCAGCTACAACATAAGAAATAATTTCCAGGAGAGTAAACTTTATTTTGTAATCATCTCATTTGGTTTCATATCTTTCAATTTTCTTTTTCATTCTAGAGAAACTTGGTCTGAAAACAAAAGCTAAATTAAAACAATGAGATAATGCCACTTTAAATTATTAAGCATGATAAGAAACAGAAAGGTATTGGTGAAATAATGTAGTTTGTTCTTAAGGGGAATAAATTCCTTCAAACATTGATTGATGCATTTGGCAATTTTTCTCTTCCAGTCACAGAATTGACATCAACTTAAGAAATACTATTTTATGTAATAGAAATTATAACATCCAGCACAAATGTGTAACATGGAGAAGACTAAATAATACCCAATAGTTATTGCACCTCCTAACATTGGACATGTAGAAAACTCTTCAGTACAAATGGTCTCTAACAAGATTTCATATATTTACATTTTTTTTGTAATCATCTCAAATTTGCCCATTTGGGCATCTCAAAATTGCCCAAGTTAATATATATATATATATATATATATATATATATATATGTTCATTCTTTATATAAAGCTGCATTCAGGAAATATGACTGTCTTCATGTCAGATTCCAATTTCAATTTCTCATGCCTCCTTAATAGCATTGTCAGAAATTATGTGAGATCTGTACATGTGGTGGGACTTAAAACTTAGAGTTACTATAAAAATCTAATATTGAAATATCTTCATACATCATGATCATTGCATGTGGGGCTGTAGAAAGATTCAATAGGAAAATAAAACTGTCAGTGCTTACAGTGTAGTTCTTCTTGTTATGCAAATGTATTTATCAAATCTCCTTAATTCTGAAAACTAGATGTTGAATTACAGTGCCCACTTAAATAATATTGGCTTTATTCTTCTCTTGATGCATCCCGATTGATGTAAACACTTGGAAAGAGCATCTTTACTTAACTGCTGTAAAAGCAGCTTTCTGTATCACCTAAGGTCAAAATATGCTATTGAAATAGAAATATGGACTTGTCCCCATTACAAACTATTGTCAGGCTATGAAAAATGTAATCATTACAATACATTATTATATTTAAGTATAAAAGCTCTGAATTGCAATCTTTGTCATTGAGTGGCATATTTTAAATGAAGAGTAATATCCCAGATCTCTTTGGAAAGCTTAATGCTTAAAACAATTTTATCTAACTATGAACAATGGGAAAAAGCATTATAAAATACATTTTGAGTATGCATGAAGAATATGAACATAATACAGAATTAAATTTAGAGCAACTAAGAGTAGATTTTGAAGATATTTTCTTAGCTGCTTTAATACAGTCACCATTTCAGATTGCAGTTTTAATGAAAAGAAGCTATATGCATTGATTTTTTGACAGGTATTATTAAATAAATATGCATTATCAAGCAACTTATTTGGTTACACAAAAGTTGAGAAGCATCTAAGAGTAAACACAAATAGTGGTTTTGTGATATTTCTGTCCTAAATATACTTTGGTGATGATTGCTATAATGTCCCAAATTCTAAGATTTGAGTACTACTGGAACCATACCGTGTTGAGATGGTTTACCTACACTAGGTAGTCAAGAAGTCTGATTAAAAGTGATTCCATATATGTGAAGCTATTTTACATCAGTGCGTCTATATTTAATACATTTTAGTCTGTTTCATTGAATAATACACAAATATGCAGTTAGATTCATGTCTAAAATTGCATCTCAAAGAAACATTAAAATATATTGTGACTAGATCACTGCAATTAATGATTATGCTTACTTATCAATTCCAATTGGAAAGTCTTCTGCCCATCCTTGGTGTCAGTTATAACTCATGCAAATGAAATGAACCAGAATGAAATTTTCTAAAGAAGTATGATAGATATGAAAATAGAATGCTACGTTTTTCTATCAGAAGCACTTTAGAAAAACAGCAAACAAAGACATAGACGGTTAAATACTGATAGTTACCGTGGAGCAAAATTGCCCAAGTTAAAATGTAAATAACGTCTGAACAGAGATTGGCTGATTTGTGTGAGCTGTGATAAAAGAGCTTTGTATTCCAAAGGATAGTCAGCAAGGGCAGAAAGCTTGGCATGATGCTGTCATCAGGAAGAGCAACACCATTAAGCAGCTTCAGTATAGAGACTCTTCGTGTCACCAGAACACATATTTTCTTAGTATTCATTTCTAGGGATCCTGCACTTGTGGTGTAAACTCTAATTGGTCTTAATAATAAAACTCTAAGTCATCTATTGGGGTGAAAGCTTAAAGAATAGAGAAGCAGAACGGCCAACCACTAGAGTTCTTACCTCTACCAATGCTCAGACCAAATGGGAGAGTCTGTTTGAAGACTGCCTCCTCAGACTGAATCCTCAGACTGACTGCCCTGCCTTATATTCCTCTTTCTGCCCAGCCATATCCCTTCCTGTTTCCACCTCCAAAGTACTGGGATTGAAGATGTGAACCACCACTGCTTGGCTCTGTTTCTCTTTTAGACTGGATCAATTTCATGTAGCCCATGGTGGCTTTGAACTAACAGAGATCTATCTGCCTCTGTCTCCTGAGGGCTGAGATTAAAGGTGTGTGCCACCACTACCTAGCCTCTGTGGCTAACTAGTGTGGCTACCTCTGCACTCTAATCTTCAGGCAAGCTTTATTTGTTATATCATAAACAAAATATTACCACAAGCCCTTATGATGAGTTAGGTAATATGGAAGAAAGAGATGCTAGAGTAAATGCTGAAACTGAACTTTGGAGGTTTGGATGGCCCAGGGATGCTTTGACAGTTTCACACTGGAGTACATTCATTGGCTATCTTTGGTTATGTGAAGACAAAGAAAAAAGAAAATAATGGGAATCTAGATTTGGGAGTTGCAAATAAATGGCAGTCAAAAGTGTCCTGACTTGGACAAGATCCATTGCATTTAAAGAGAAAAAAAAAGCTAAATAAACTGTCAGAGACGCCCAAAATATGACACTCAAATTCCAAAAAATTATATATGCTTCTCAAATAAATAAATAAATAAGCAAAGCTGCACACAACACTGTTAGCCATAGGGTTGGGAAGCAGGTTGTAGTTTAAAGGTTTCTCAGCCATAGTGCATTTCCTGGAAATCTTTTGGGGGAATGATATGCTACATGCTTGCTTGGAAACACTGAACTATATATATGGTTTCTTAATTAATGATGTCCATGCCTTTGTGTGGGTAGACCAGCAGGACAAACTGAAGTTTAAAGAACACTGAAATTGTACAAGTGAAGTGTATGCATTTATGTCTGGTGGCATTGGCACGTAAAAAGCTTGGGAAACTGGAGGCAGGTGCTGTTGGAGACAGTTCATGAGGGAAAGGAGTGTGGGGTAAGGTTTTGCAGAATGAGATGAATTGTGGAGGCAATGATTCCAGGCAGGGAGATTATTAGGCCAGGAAGCCGAGAGGCTGCCCATGGTAACATGATAAGAATATAAATGGTGGGGCTGCCTGGGACATAGACAAGTGTGAACTTGACAGATATTTGTAGGGAAGGAATTATGGGACTTGGTCATAGATTAGACTAAAAGAAGAAAAGGTCAAAGATAAAGTTACTGGCCTGAAAGAAAAAACTAGGAAACAGTAAAACGAATTACACCAAAATCCTAACACTTCCCAGGACACAGCTAAGTTTCTGGAGAGTACAGTGCAATACCTGAGAGTGGCCTCCAAGTGTTTTCAATTAAGTGGCACAATACTAAACAATTTTGTGTGTGTGTTGTTTAAACACAGGTCTAAAATACCAGGTTTAGAATGCCATGCCCAATCTTCAAATGACTAAAAAACAAATCAACCTCTAGATTTGTAAATGGGAAAATTGTCAAACATGTTGAAGTTACCATTTTAAGATATTCAAAGAAACCCGATTGTTTCTTCCGTCATCTTATTTAAATGTCTTGAATTAAATCTGGTATCTATAATTTCCCATTCTACTACCACTAGCTAGAAATCACACATTTTCAAATTCTAGGCAGAAATCACTTCTAGATTATTTGTTTTGTCTTTGAATGTGTTAGTGCCCAAGGTTCTGGCAACTCTACACCATTGTTTTGCAAAAGAAACAAAAGTAGTGTGAAAACATAAAACACACACGAGTAAGGTTTTTGCCTTAAAAATTCTTCCTTTTTCCAGGTGACATTTACAAAGAGGAAATTTGGATTGATGAAGAAGGCTTACGAGCTGAGCGTGCTGTGTGACTGTGAGATTGCACTGATCATCTTCAACAGCACCAACAAGCTGTTCCAGTATGCCAGCACCGACATGGACAAAGTGCTTCTCAAATACACAGAGTACAACGAGCCGCATGAGAGCCGGACGAACTCTGATATCGTAGAGGTGAGCACAGGAGCTGTGACCCTGGGCTTCTGCAGAGCCTTGTGGTGTGGGCCTTGCCCAAATCTTTCCCTATGTTCCTACTCCTGTATATATTTTAAGGCTTTTTACCCCAGCTGTGACTCTGCCACCCTGGTTATTTCTCTCAAAATGAAAGTTGAAGTGGCAAAATGATGAACTATGTAGGATCTAGAAATCAAGTTCCAGGGTCAAGTCAGTGGCTGCTTCTTTCTTGAGTGAGCAGTATCTTCCACTGTGTATCCAGACACCAGAGTTGGGAACTGCAGTCAGGTGAAATGTCATCCAAAGGGTAAACTCTCATATACTTACAATTTAAGTATATAATAGTTTCCCTACAGAATCAAAATTTTTTCAAGTATATTCGTTCTAACCATGTAATCTTTCACATGTATCACTTCTTATTTTTAGGGTTATCTCACTAGGAAAGTAAGAACAGCTTTATAAAAATGTTTTTCACTGGGTATGTTGGCACAGACCTTTAATCCCAGCACTGGGGAGACAGAAACACGTGAACTTCTGTGAGTCCCAGGCCAGCCTGGTCCACAAATCATTTTCCAGGACCACCAGGGCTTTTACACAGAGAAACCCTGCCTCAAACAAAACACAAAAGTTCAGCACTAGTTCTGATCAAATGAACAAGCCTCTTGTATCCCCTTCTTTTTATTGCATCCACCTCTAATAATGACTAATTCTTATTTCTTTGTTTTTATTGAAAGTTTTCAGAAGCATTGGAATTTACTGGTTTTGTTTTTCATATTGTCAATTTGCCTAATAAGACCAGATACAACTTCAGTGGAAGAAAAATCAGTGAACCATGTTTAATATGTGGTGGAGATACTCTGTGTCACTTTTGTTTTTCATTGACTAGTGATTGAGCCATGCACTTGCCTGGATCCTCAAATTTAATTAGTAATAAAATTTGCCTGCCTTTAAGAGAGGTCTTTTCCACACCTACATATAAACCCCAAAATGAAAAACAAGTGTAAAAGAACTAGTTAGTTGTGAAATTCAAGGGCTTTTATGTATGTGAACTTTATAGTCGAAATCCTATCACATACTACAGCTGTAACAAGATGTATTCTAAGTTAACAGACTGACCTAAACTCCAACATTGGGGTTGATGTTCTTGGACTAGACTGCTCTTCATTTGATGTGAAGCAATAGAACTTTACTGGATGGATTAGAAAAATACGTTGACTTTTAAATTCTTCTTTCATGAGTTTTTAATCTAGAAAATTTATATGCCGAGTCTTTCAGAGGAGTGTGCTATGTGACTTGAAGGTGACTTGCAGTTTGACACCCCATCTGATATTTTCATAGGCCTCTATGGATGGGCATCTGAGAACTTGATTTCTTTAAGGGCTGTGATATGAACACTGGGTCAAGAGTCTGAAATTTGCATTATCATGCTATGTGGCAAGTTGACTCTCTCACCAGCTGAAGGGTTCTCATCTCAGAAAATGAAGGGGGTTTGAAGATAGCAACTCCATGGTAGAGGGTCTCCTGAGCGCAGGAGATTCAGAATCTCAATTCCAGCACTACACAAATAATTTGAAAATCCTTTGTGACAGTATAATTTTTCGAAGTAGCCATTCAAGATCGCAGTAAAGTTCTAATTTCATTATTTTGAATATGATGGAAACATATTAAATCTCTGATCACTCTAGGCTTCTAACTTTCTAGCCAAAGCAAGAGTCTGTGGCTCAGTATTTTGAGTGAATACAACATGTAAATGTGTCCTGATGGATTATCTCAGTAACATTTATTCTTTCCAATATGGCCTTCCTGCATTTTAGAAGTAACAGTTGGTGGAGAGGATTTTAAGGCACAGTCTCTAGCTAATAACATTTATATTTCTGTCATATGTACCATCTTTAACAATATGGGGCATTGAAATCAGAATACTTGAGATAAGAGACTGAAGTGGAAAGTCAGTATATAACATGTTCCCTCAAATAATTAGCCACGCCAGCTTCCAAAGCTTTGTAGCAGTACACCAATTACAATAGAGACTATGGATCTGTAGTTACAAGAATTCACTTTGAGAATAGGTCTAACAAAGTTTAAAGTGAAGATAGTTTACTACTCCTGGGTAAAATTTTTAATCCTATTCATTTTAATTTAATGGAATACATTTAACTGGGTAAGTTTAATGGGGAGTGTAATATGTTCATGAAGGGTCATTAGTTTTCCATTTTCCATTTGGACCATTGTCTCTGTCCCTCAAGCCTTTACAGTTTACTCACAAGAGGGAAAGTTTTTTTTGTTTTGTTTTTTTGTTTTTTTTTTTTTTTTGGTTTTTCGAGACAGAGTTTCTCTGTGGCTTTGGAGACTGTCCTGGAACTAGCTCTTGTAGACCAGGCTGGTCTCAAACTCACAGAGATCCACCTACCTCTGCCTCCTGAGTGCTGGGATTAAAGGCGTGCGCCACCAACGCCCACAAGAGGGAAAGGTTAGAGAGAGAAGCTGGAGGGAAGGGGAGGTGATGAGATGGGTAGGGAGGGGATGAGAAGAGTAGAAAGGGGAGGAGAGGAGAGGGGAGGGGAGGGGAGGAGAGGGGAGGAGAGGAGGGGAGAGGGGAGAGGACATTTGTCAGAAACTGAGTATGATCGCATACAACAGTAACGTCTGCACTCTAGTAAGGCAAGCGGATTGCAGCTTCAAGACCAGGCTTTACATAAGATTGTTGTACATGTCAATCCCAGTTCCCTTCCCTCCTCCCCTGCCCCCCAACTCACACCCTACCTATCCCCTACCCTTTCTGCTCCCCAGGGAGGGTGAGGCCACCCACCCCCCACCACCCCCCCCACACCCCCCATCAGCCCCCACCCATCCTCCATCAGCACCCACACATCCTCCATCAGCACCCACACATCCTCCTATGCTAGGGATAAGTACTGATCCACTACAAGAGGCCCCGTAGATTTCCGAGGTCTCCTCACTGACACCCACAATCATGGGGTCTGGATCAGTCCGATGCTGGTTTCCCAGCTATCAGTCTTAGTTTGTCATTTTCAGAATGTGTTACTTTTTTTTTTTTTTTTGGTTAATCTTATTCCTTAGTATTTTTCCTTTTAATTCCATTTTGTAAATGAAACCACTTTTTAAAAAGCTATTTACTTATTTTTATGGGCATGAGTGCCTGCATGCATGTATGTGCACCATGTGAATGCAGTACCCACAGAGGCCAGAAGAGGGCATCAGATTCCACTGGAACTGAAATTTCAGATGCTTGTGAGTGGCCACCTGCTGGGGATCAAGCCCAGGATCTTTGCGAGACAGCAACCAGTGCTCTTAATGCTGAGCTATCTCTCTAGTCCCCAATACTGCTTTTTATTTTATTTATTTATTTATTTTTAAAGATTTTATTTATTTATTATATATACAATATTCTGTTTCCATGTATATCTGCACACCAGAAGAGGGCACCAGATCTCATAACAGATGGCTGTGAGCCACCATGTGGTTGCTGGGAATTGAACTCAGGACCGCTGAAAGAACAGCCGGTGCTCTTAACCTCTGAGCCATCTCTCCAGCTCTGGCCAATACTGCTTTTTAAATATCACCTCAAAATGTTCATCTCTACAGTATAGAAATACAACTGATGCATCCTGCCACTTTGCAAAGTCATTTATTATTTGAAGTCATTTATATAAAAAGTTGATTCTTCAACAGACAGTGGTGGGACACATCTTTAATCCTGGCATCCAGGAGGCAGAGGCAGGTGGATCTCTGAGTTCGAGGCCAGCCTGGTCTACAGAGTGAGTTCCAGGATCGCCAAGGCTGTTACACAGAGAAGCATTGCCTCAAAAAACAAAACAAAATAATTTGCTTTTTTGTTTGTTTGCTTTGTTTTGTTTTTTGAGACAGGGTTTCTCTGTACTAACATGGAGACTGAAGTGAAGATTCCTGGGCCACACCAGAGAAGTGTTAGAGGGTCATAGGAAAGTGTGCACTGTGTGGGTGTTGAAAAGAGATTTCTCCTTTTAGCAAAAAGCTCTGTGTAATTACCATGTCTTTGCTTGATAATTAGCACCACTGTTACAATGGCACAGAGACACACAAAGGCTTAACAGATAGACTGAAATAGGTTTTTTTTTCCCCATTGTATCATAATGCAGCTTGAATATCTGTTTAGATACATTATATAAATATGCCAGATTTAGTAAATGTGTTAAAAATTGTAATCCATTGTTTAAAAAGGAAACAAAATCAGCTATTGTATTTAAATACATCCTTTGAAGAAAGTCCATTTTATTTGGCTCTGTAACACAAAACTAGATATCTACCCAAGTGCTGGCTTACAAGGCTCTGAAATTCAGGTAGTGTGAAGAACTGCCCCATCATCATTGTTCTCCTAATGGGAGAAACCCTGGAAGTTTCTCTTGGGCTGTATTCCTAAAGAAGCATTTGGTAAATACCTAAGAATGACCTGGAGAATGCAGATTCTATAGGACTGTGCCCAGGGAGGTGATGTCTGCATTCTGTGCTCTTGTTGAAGGTGTAAAACCAAATACAGAAACCGGCTTGGGAACAATTGGAAGCAAAGGAGCAATGCCCCATAAATACCACGTAAGCTGCTGAAAGGAAAATGGGCACTGGCGGTTCAATAGCACTACATGCTAGCACATGTGTGCTTCAGGAACATGGCAAGTGATCTCTGGAAAAAAAAGAGTCTGATGGTAACTGCCATTAATGGTAACTGCCACTATTCCGTGTCTACCAAACATGAAGCCCAAATGTGAGGGTACTTAGCACCTGGCCAACAAGGAGTCTCTCAGCACTCAACTATTCTGCAGAAGAGTTATCCAGTCTGGGCCAGAAGTCCAGCTACTGTGTGTAAACAGGAACAAAATACAAGTCCTGCACAGCTCCCTAGTAAATACAGGGATGAGATTAGCACCTATTAGAAAAGAAACCCTAGAGTCACAGCTTTTATTTTTAGATGCATGATTGATTAATGAGTCTCCCCCTGTGCGCGT